AGAACTTCTAAAGTTCCAAATTCCGCAGCCGACGCAGAAACCTATCAAATCACCTCTGAATGACCTGAAATTTTGCACACAAGTCACAATTGTAACCTACTCTAACTTCCGGAATTCCATTCCGTCCGCGATATCAAAATTTCCACTGTCGACCAAAATTGCCAAAATTCTAATTTTCACCAATTCAAGCCTAATTCTACCACGGACCTCCAAATCACATTCCGGACGCGCTCATAAGTCCAAAATCACCTAACATAGCTAAATAAACCATCAAATTCAAATCCGAGGTCGTTTACACATAAGTCAACATCCGGTCAACTTTCCTAACTTAAGCCTTCACAAAAGAGACTAAGTGTCTCAAATCCTCTCCGAAACCACTCTAGAGCCGAACCAACTGACCCAACATATCATAATATAGCTGAAGAACACAAAAAGAAGCAAAAATGGCGAAACAGGGCTATAACTCTCAGAACGACCGGCCGGGTCGTTACACATTGTTTGACTAAATTCAGTACTACCCTATTTTTCGACCCTAACAAATTGGTATCAGAGCCGGATCTAACCGGGCTTGTTTCAGTAGTCAATATGACTCTAACAGAGACTTATGTTGAGAAATTTGATCGAAGTGCAAACTTCAGAATGTGGAAATTAAATATGGAAGCTATCCTAATTCAGGATGGCTTAGATTTGGCACTGCAAGGAAAGGAGAAGAAGTCGGATAAAATAACGGACGAGGAGTTTGTTGTCATTGACAAAAAGGCAAAAGCATGTATTTTTAAATCTCTTAAATGAGGTTTTGCATGAAGTTGCTACAGAAGCTCAACCAAAGTCATATGGGAAAAGCTGAAAACCATGTATATGAAAAGAACAGTAGAATATAGGTTTTACCTGAAGCAAAAACTCTACACCTTTCGTATGGCTGAAGGTACCTCTATAGTTACACATCTTGATAATTTTGATTCTCTTCTTATGGATTTAAGTAACATAGATGCTGAAATCAAAAATGAGGATCAAGCTTTGTTATTGCTTGTTTACTTACCCAAGTCGTTTAAGCATATAAGAGATACTATGCTTTATGGAAAGGATAATATCTCTTATAAAAATATCAAATCTATTTTGAAATCAAAAGAACAAATAGATAGAGATATTACTGGGGAAACTAGTGGGAACCAAGGGGAAGGCTTGTTCATAAGAGGTAGATCTCATAAAAAAGATTCAATTAGTGAGAGACCTAAATCAAGGTCAAAATCCATATACAGAAATGTCATATGCAAATACTGTCATAAGATAGATCATATTATTTCTGAATGCTTTAAAGTGAAAGACAAAGAAAAGCATATAGAAAAGAAAAATGAGCACAAAAATACTGACACTGCCGAAGCAAGTGTAGCTGCTGATGAGACTGAGGGAACTATTTTTTAGCAACTAGTAATAGTTTCAAATCTAACAATGAGTAGATTATAGATTCAGGTTGTTCTCATCATATGTGTCCCAATCGGGATTTATTTACCATATATAAATCTATTGGATGTGGAGTTGTCTTGATGGGCAACAATGTTGTCCGAATCAAAATGAACGATGGTGTGGTGAGAACTCTCACCGATAGTAGACACGTTCCTGACTTGAAAAAAAAATCTCATCTCTTTGGGCACTTTAGAATCTCTTGGGTGCAAGTACAGAAGTGGGTGGAGTTTTGAAAGTTTCTCATGGCGCTCTTGTGATCATGAAAGCACGGAGATCTGGTACGGTGTATACTCTATAAGGATCTAATGTTATAGGTGTTGTTGCAGTTTCAACATCAGATAAATCTGATTCTAACATCACCAAATTGTGGCATATGCGATTGGGGAATATAAGTGAAAAGGTCTATCCATCCTCAACAAAAGAGGTCGCTTGTATAGCCAAAGTACTGGAAATATGGAGTTCTGTGAATACTGTATGTTCGGGAAGCAAAAAAGAGTCAGCTTCAAATCTCCAGCAATTCAAAGGACAAAAGGTACTTTGGATTACATTCATTCAGATCTTTGGGGTCCTTCACGTACCCCATCGAAAAGTGGTGCCAGGTATATGTTAACTTTCATTGATGATTATTCAAGGAAAGTTTGGGTTTATTTTCTGAAAAATAAAAGTGATGTTTTCTTAACTTTCAAATAATGGAAAGTTTTGATTGAGAAATAAACAGGAAAACAGGTTAAGCGATTTAGAACAAATAATGGATTAGAATTTTATAATGATGAATTCAACGAATTTTGAAAGAATGAAGGAATCGCTCGACATCGTACTGTGAAAATGACACCTCAACAAAATTGTGTGGCAGAAAGGATGAATAGAACTCTTTTGGAAAGGGCTCGCTGCATGATTTCAAATGCTGGATTGACAAACGCCTTTTGGGCAGAAGCTATCTCTACAACTTGTTATATTGTTAACCGTGGTCCTTCTGCACCCTTGAACTTTAAGACTCCAGAGGAAATGTGGTCAGGTACTCCTGCTAATTATTTTGATTTAAAGATATTTGGTTGCCCTGCATACATCCATGTAAAAGATGGAAAATTAGAGCCAAGGGCTAAAAAGTGTATTTCCTTGGGTATGCATCTGGGGTGAAAGGATACTGGCTATGGTATCCTGATACCATGACACCAAAATTTATAATTAGCATAGATGTAAGATTTGATGAATCTTCTATGTTAAATTCAATAAAAGAGTCTTATAATTCTTGTAATACAGATAAAAGGAAGAGTACAAAGAAGCAGGTGCAGGTTGAGATTGGCATTCCTTCTGAGCCAAGCTCACCAACTTTAGAGCAAAATACAGCTGAAACTCCTGAAGTTGAGCCAGAAGCTGAAATTCCTAAAGTTGAGACTCCTGAAGTTGAACCAGAAGAAGAGGAGTATTCTATAGCCAAACATAGACCAAGAAGAGAAAGTAAACAACCTTAAGGTTTGGAGATTATGTTGCATTTGCTTTTTCAGTTGCACAAGAAACTGAAGAAATTGGAGAGCCATCAAAATATTCAGAAGCAGTTTCTGGTGTTGATTCAGCAAGTTGCTGATTGCAATGAATGAAGAAATTGAGTCTCTCCACAAGAATGGTACTTCGTCTTTTGTGAAGCCGCCATCAGGAAAGAGAATTGTTTGTTGCAAATGGGTCTTCAAGAAAAAAGATGACATTCCAGGGGTTAAAGATACGAGGTATAAGGCACGATTAATTGCGAACAACTATAGTCAGGTACAAGGAGCTGATTTTAATGATATTTTCTCACATGTTGTTAGACATAGCTCTATTCGTGTCTTGCTTGCCTTAGTTGCCATGTATGATTTGGAATTAGAACAGCTTGATGTTACGATAACTTTCTTGCATGGCGAACTTGAGGAACAAATATACATGCACCAACCCGAATGATTTGAAATTAAAAGAAAAGAAGATCATGTTTGCTTGTTGAAGAAATCCTTGTACGGATTAAAGCAGTCTCCAAGATAATGGTACAAAAGGTTTGATTTCTTTATGTTGGGTCATGGTATTCGAGGAGCATGCATGATAGTTGTGTTTACTTCCAGAAATTAAATGATGGTTCATTTGTGTACTTATTACTATATGTTGATGACATGCTCGTTGCTGCTAAGGATTTTACAGAAATTCACAATTTGAAAAGTCGGCTTAAAAGTGAATTTGAGATGAAAAATTTGGGAGCAGCTAACAAAATTCTTGGCATAGAAATCAAAAGAGACCAAGGAGCCAACAGGCTATTCCTGACCCAGAAGAAGTACTTGGAGAAAGTTTTGGAGAGGTTTGGCATGAAATATGTTAAACCAGTTAGTACTCCCCCCCCCCCCCCTTGCTGCTCATTTTAAGTTATCAGCTGCTCAGTCACCGTCGTCATAGGAAGAAGAGAGGTATATGGCATAGGTACTTTATTCCAGTGCAGTCGGCAGTATTATGTATACAATGGTGTGCACACGTCTAGATATTTTCAAGCAGTAAGTGTAGTGAGCCAATATAGGGCTTGTCCTGGTAAAGCACATTGGCAGACTGTGAAATGGTTTCTCAGATACTTGCAAGGTACTTCAAACACATGTTTGGAGTTTGGGAGAAATACTAACTCTTGGGTTGCTTTTGTAGACTCAGATTATGGAGGTGATCTCTACAAAAGAAGATCACTAACATGCTATGTATTTTGCATCGGTGGTTGAGCTATCAACTGGAAAGCTACATTACAACATGTAATAGCTTTATCTACTACTGAAGCAGAATATATGGCAGTGACCGAGGCTATCAAAGAAGCCTCATGGTTGAAGGGTCTATTTGCTGAACTCAGTTTACACCAAGGTGGTATTAATATTTTTTGTGATAGTCAAAGTGCCATTTTAAAGACCAAATGTATCATGAGAGGACGAAGCATATTGACATCAAGTACCATTTTATCCGGAAAACCATTGCTAATGGAAAGGTCTCTATTCAGAAGATCAACACTAGAGAAAATCATGCTGACATGTTCACAAAGCCTCTTCCAGTTGGCAAGTTTCAAGCTCTGCTTGAACTTGATTCCAGTTGGTAAGTGCTTGAACTTGATTCCATTTGGGAAACACTTCTGTGGTCCCCTTTCTTTGGAGTGATCTTGTGAGGTTATTCTCTCGGGGGTATTTGGGATTACTTAGAGTATTTACTCTATTTTTGTACGCTCTTTTGTACTTTTATTGCTATAGTAAATTTGCTCCTCTCCACTTATGGACGTAGGTCATTTTGACCGAACCACGTTAAATTTGTGTCTTCTTTATGTGCTTTAATTGTCATTGTTATCAACTTATATTGTATTTGTTATTGTCATTACAACATTATTTGGCTAAATTTGGCACTACCCGATTTTTCGATCCTAACACCTACTTCATTGTTCTTGATTCTCTTCAACGCATGCAATAACAAAATCAAATACATACCGGACAAAATTCTCCTTTTAGTTCCTACTTTAACATGGAAAGCACTGGTTAGCGTTTAGTGACCATAGAAGTTCTTTTTCGATGACCAGTCGATTTAGCTTATTGTAACAATTTAATTATCTGAATAATTGCAGTGCAAAAATAGAGAGTAAAATATGTGTGTACTCTTGTTAATTAGATAAAAAGATAGGCGTCAAAGGAAAAGCGGCAATTGAATGGAATGGAACTTTTTATGGAGTTTTGAATGGGAAGAAATAACATGGATCACCCATTTTTTGGGAAGTTTTAACTGTCTGGACTCCAAATAACAAGTCCTAAAATTTCTCTACTCCAGACTTCTTTTTTCCATTTCCTACAGAAATCATGGTTCTCAAATTTACACACTCCAGTCCATCTGAAAAATTCGCCAAGTTAAAGTGAATAAGAGAATAAAAAAAGGAAAACCAAATAACAAAAGAAAGAAAGCTCTCGGTGTAACATCTCTGCCTTGGCTTGAATCCAGGGCAGAGATATTTCTAATCTCTGTCTCAATTCCTGGACTCAATCCAAAATGGCGTTTCAAGATTTTGATCAAATTTCAGAGCGAAGAAAGCTCGAAAGGCAGCAAAAGATGAAGAGAAGGATCATGATCGCTGTCGTATTACTTCTCCTCATCCTCGCCGCGGTTGCTGCTGCTGTTGTCTATCTTGTTGTGTTCAAAAACAAGAGCGAGGATGCCTCCGCCAACAAATCTAATAAGAATGCTTCGACGCCCCCTTCAACAGAACCAGCGACCCCTAAAAGTGATGCAACACCACCTCCTAAGGATGACGCAGCATCAACACCTCCTGAGGTTGCAGCACCGCCCCCTGCTGACGGTGCTGCCCCTCCACCAAAGGAGGAAGGTGCTGCAGCACCGCCGGTCGAGGATGCTGCAGCCCCTTCACCACCATCTGACAATGCTCCTGCACCGTCACCACAAGAGGGTGACAATGCAGCAGCACCAGCTCCTTCACCACAAGCAGAAGGAGCTATAGGAGCAATATGTGCAGCCACGGAATTCAATCAAACTTGCGGGGACATTCTATCAAAAGTTTTACAAACCAATGCCTCCGGGGCTCAACCCGCGGATCTTCTCAAGGCAACCATGTCTGCAGCTATTGATGAGATTGCAAAGGGCATTGATGAACTAGGAAAAATCAACAAGGATTCTCCAGAGAAATCGACAGCCTATGACGATTGTATGTCCCTCCTTGCTGATGCCAAAAAGGACTTGAACAGTTCTATTTACATTCTTGATGGCGGCATTAGTGATGTCGCCTCAGCAACAGCTGAACTCAATAACAAGTTAAGTGCAGCTTTAACATACCAAGACATGTGTGTGGACGGATACCCTGAAGCAGACCAGTCCACGGCACAAACTGCCTTAAAGAAAATAGGGGAACATACCATAAATTCTCTGGCTGTTGCGTCCGAATTGTCAACAACATCTCCAAAGCAAAATAATAATGCTAAAAGACGTCTTCTAACAACACGAGGCGTTCCCACATGGATGAATCAAGGTGATCGTAGAATGTTGGAAGAAGAAGAAGGTAAAGATCCAAAGGGTATTGCAAACGTCACTGTTGCAAAAGATGGTAGTGGTGATTTTACTACGATAAATGATGCCCTAAAGGCAGTTCCAAGCTTTGAAGGAAGGTACAATCCTTTTCCAAATAGTAATAGATGTGTCTATCAAGACTAGCTGATGTATCAAAATTGTGATTTTCATATATGATGTTGAGAATGCAGGTACTTTATTTATGTGAAAGAAGGAGTTTATGAAGAGAATGTAGTTGTGTCACAAACCAATCTTACATTTTTTGGAGACGGATCCCAAAAGAGTGTTATCACCGGGAGCAAAAACATTGTGGATGATCTGTCAACATACCAAAGTGCAACAGTTGGTAAGTATTTATCTTCCCAACAGAACAAGACTCTGATTAAAAAATCAGCACAACAAACCCCCCCCCCCCCCCCCCAAATTCTAACTTTCCATTTCCAATTAGAAAGTAAATCCAAAACGACCCATTGAGAGTTGCAGCCAACTCTTAACATAATCAAGTCATTTAAAAGTGATACCCTGAATTGAAATATGGTAGACAACCCGCTAAAATAAGTTACATTACACTATTGATATTAAAATTATTTGCATTTTTAGTGTATGTACATTAATTCCTTATTTTTGTGGAGGTCAAATTGTTCTTTAACTAGGAACATGTTAAATAATTAAAAATTATGATAGTACTTTGTCTATGGTTTTTGAACATGTACATTTAGACATGGGGTCGTTTGGTGCAATGGTCAGATATTCCAGGATATCCCATGCGGATTAACTATCCCACCTTCTATATGCGATAGCTAATCCCACCATTTTAGTATAAAGGTATCTCAGAATTAGCTAATATCCCAAACCAAACATGAGATAAAGTTAATCTCAGACTTTATCTCGAAATTATTATTCTTATCTCATTACCAAACGATCAAGAAAATTAGAAACGCTGACCTCCAAACACAATCATTCTTTTTTGAAGGGGTATTATTAGTTTATACAACTTACAAGGTACAACATTGGCAGCATTTTTTTTTTTTTTTGGGAGAGAATCAAATAAGAAAAAGAAAATCCACCATAACCGATAAATAATCTCTTTTGGAGCTTTATAGCAGCTGATTATCTCTTCATACTTCCTCTCCTAATCTCTAATGAACAATAACTATAGTGCGCATTACTTTAACAACATGTCAAGTCACTTGTATTCTTTTTTCCTCTGTTTTATGCAGTTATTTCAGGGGATGGATTTATTGCATATAAGATAGGATTCCGAAACACAGCGGGTCCAGAAAAGTTACAAGCAGTGGCACTCCGCGTCCAAGCTGATCACACAATATTTGTGAATTGTCGCATGGAGGGTTACCAAAGCGTGATCCACGCTGCAACCCATCGACAATTCTATCGCGGATGTTACATTACAGGTACGGTTGACATTATCTCGGGCAACGCTGCTGCTGTATTCCAGAATTGCCAAATTTACCTAAGGAAACCATTGGATGACCAAAAGAACGTCATTACTGCTCAAGGAAGGTCGAACAAGCGTCAAACCACAGGGACCGTCTTGCAAACGTGTGGCATTTTCGCGGACGATAAGCTTGAGCCTGAAAAATCGAAGGTTAAGAGTTACTTAGGTCGGCCAATGAAGGAATATTCGAGGACGGTTGTAATGGAAACGGACATTACTGATGTGATTGACCCTGAAGGATGGGTAGCCTCGAACGGGGATTATGCGTTAAGCACCCTGTATTTTGCAGAGTACAGCAACAAAGGGGCTGGATCTGAAGTTGCCTCTAGAGTCAAGTGGCCTGGATATCAAGGGGCAATAGGCAAAGATGCTGCCCAGAATTTCACAGTTGAATCCTTGTTACAAGGACAAACTTGGTTGAAGGATTATGATGTTCAAGTCCGTTTTGGCCTTTCCAACTGATGATCATGATCATGTCAAATTAATCATCTTTCTCTTAATTTCATGTCAAATTATGATCTTCTTCATCTTAATTTAGTTTGTTCTTATCATGTTGTATGAGTTTTATAAGTAGTGAACAATATGCACCTCAGACGAAATTTTTTCTACAATATATAAGTACATAACAAAGAAGCTGTATATGATAAATAATTGTAATGAATAGTACTACTCGTTGTCTATTTCGTACAACTAAGTAAACCAAATGTGGAGATAAGTTCTTCTTTAGCAGCTTGCTTTCTTTTATTTTATTTTATTTTAAAATCAGATGCGCACCTGGTATCTGTACCAAATAAAACTAATAATACACTTTATCCATCGACACAATTGCATCGTGGCAATGGTGTGAAATCTGCAAGGAGAAAGAGGACCTATTTCGCCATGTTTTATACTGTGGTCTGTGGTATATAAACAAAAGCCTTATCTCGCCATAGGTGTTTTGCATGAGCCAGGACCGTCAGGAACAACGCTAAAGAGTCATTGGATAAGCTCAATACAAATTCAAGGAATTTCTACAATCGAAGTAAGATTTGACCTTGAATTTCATGGATTAATTTAGACTCGAGGTTAATAAATACCCCAATTAGATTGGGCTGGGGTTAATGTTCAGAATATAATACTGCTGGTTGGGTAGATTATGGCATGAATTCTCTTATATGAACAAGAAGATGCGCAGTAGATTACATATAGTAGGCAAATTGTGCTATTACATTGTCTATTGATTAATTGGAAACCAGTCTAATTGTCACGACCCAAAATCAACCGTCATGAGAGCGCTGATGTTCGGCTATAATTTTATATTTTAGGATATTATTTACCTTACATTTTAAGTGCTTTAATGCTAAACTATACTATATTTGGGCTTAATTGAGTTATTTTATGTGTTAGGTACGTTGAAGACCAAATTGGGATCAAAGTGTATTTTATACACTACAAGAATGGCTCGTGATTATTTGATGATGGAAAATATTATGATGTCATGATTGGGTGATGATTGAAGACAAAATTTGTAAATGATCCAAGTGAGCAAATTAAAGGAAGGAAAAATAAAACAAGCGAAGGAATTGAAATCAAAAATAAGAAGAAACGGAAAAGAAAACATGAAAGGTTGGGAAAGTCGGCAGAAGAAATCAAAATGAATTGAAGCAGAGAAGCATCAGGCGATGCGAGCTAAAAATCTCGCGTAAGAGCAGGCGCCGCAGGCCTAAAGCACGGTCTGTCGCGTGTTTCGAGTTTTAAGCCTATTTTGTCTCTTATTTGGTTTTGGACTTGATTATTTAGTCTAGGCTTTTATCCTACATATATAAATAGTCATTAAATACCAATTTTGAGAGACAGACTAGAGATTGAGTTTGGACACTTTAGACCTAGGAAGAGCACGGAGCCGCCGTGAAGACCGGGGATTCGACCTAAGGAGGCAAGAACACACTAAGAGCAAGGCGGAGAATTTTTTTACGAGTTTTTCACTTCCTTCTTCCTATTTCTATTATTGGTTATGAATTCTAGTATTGTAATTTTGCATACTATTACGAATAGCTAATTTGTTAGGGTTTTGATGGAACCTATTGGAGGATGAGTTTCCTGTTACATTAATATAGATTTGTTGTAGCTTTTTCTCTATTTGTTCAACTACGTTTATATTGTGGTTGGTTGAAGAGCTCTCAATCGACTGTGCCTATTTAGTGTGTATTACTCGGGAGAGAGTGCACATTTAGGTAGTTGTTGAATAACATCACTCCTAACGTATATGAGGGATCAATACGTAGGGCTTCAAGGTGGGATTAGGGATAACGAAACCTTGGTGTGAGCTGAGTGAGCTGTTAAGGCCAGCTAGTGTAATTCGGGAGAATATGTCTAGTAAATTGTGGTAGCTACTTGGGAGAGAATTACGACACTTAGAGAGCTCATGATTGGCAGAGAATACTTAGGCAAATTTATATAAAATGTAGAGGAAAGGATTCCGACTATAGGAAAAATCATAACTCTAGAGCTCCTTAATCTTGTCTCCAATCCTTATCCTTGTTAATTGATAGTTTTACTGCTTTCTAGTATTTTTTAGTTAATTAGATAAAAATAAACATTATAATCTTTATAATTAGGAAATTATTTGGACGTGTGTTTCTTAGCGATATTGAACATCTGTAGCTAAGCATTAGTTCTCTGTGGGATTCGACTCCGAAATTGTAAATCGGATTATATTTACAACGACCGCTTAGTCCTTTTTATAAAGCATTGTTGGGCGTGATCAAATTTTGGCGCCGTTGCCGGGAACTAACGGTATAGCTATAGGTGTACATATTTCTAGGTTGCAAGTTTGAGCTTTTATTGTTGTTTTCTTGTGTTTGATTATTTTTTTTAATTTTTATTTTTGACTTGAGAGACATGGCATCTTAGAATTATGAGAGTTTTGATATTGGTAATTCTACTTTTGATCCTCCTTATGCATATTGTGGATGAAACCACCCAGGGCAAAATTATCAAAATATTCCCAGAGCGAGTTATGTGCACCAACTCAATCTTATGTATGGAATGTGTGTGATATGTGTGGTGGTCAAGATGGTCACTTTCATGGTTGTGCTTAAATTTCTTATCTTCCCCCAACCCCTTACTTTGATGGTTCTTCTTGTTTACCGTGAAAGTGGTAACAACAATTAAATTTGTAAATGGGATTCTAAAAATACGTGATCTATTCCCGAGCTAGTTTGAAAGGGTGATTAGTGCTAAATGTGGAGTGAAAACAACAAAGATTGAGCTAGTCAAAAAAAATAATCAAACTAGTAAGGGGCGTTCCCGAGCTTAGAACAAGCTAGTAGATACCTCGGGGCCAGACCTCGAGCCTACCTCGAGCCTACCTCAGGCCTATCGAGGGTATTCGGGAAGGGAATAACAGATGAATATACAAGTAAATACGGCTTTATATGATCAATCTTGAGCTAAATGACTAAGAATAAATGAAGAACAATAAGACGCTGAGGCGACCTTGGGGTCGAAGAACACAGTTAACTTTAGAAGAAAGAGATAGAGAGAGAGATATTATTGCTTATTAGAAAAGTGGAGCAACATCAGTCAATTACAAGGTGAGGCGAGTCCCCCTTATATAGGCGAGGGGACTCGGTAAAATATGCATATATTATTTACAAGAGTAGAAAGATGGGATGGCCTACTGCTCGTCATCTCAATAAGTTACAGATAGGCCGGCCCTGTCAGGTGTAGCAATGCGCTCTGGAGTCATCTTCTCTTACCCCTGACCTCGAACCCTACTTCTTTCGATTCGGACCTTGATGAGCCCGGAGGTCGAGAACTCGATCACAGCCTTCCATCCTCGGGGTCTTGAGGGAGGCTTCCCGAACTGTCTTGATAGCGAAAATCAAGTCTTCTGATTTTTACCGCGTATAGATAGTCTCCGCGTTTCCCATGATGAAGTGATGGGAAATGATTCTGACACTCGACTCCCCGATCTCCTTTTGGCGACGCTATAATGACGATTCAAATCGGGGCGCGCTCTTCCGTAGCCGATGGCGTGTCTCACAGGTCTTTACTCGATGCCCTGTCGCTTCCGCTCCTCGAGGCAAAAGTGTTGTCGTTGGTTCATTTTTTCAAGGACATGGTAATTACACCCGTCGGTCAGTCTTTCAGGGTATCGATGACCATGTCATTTCCTCCTATAAATGAAGGCGTTTTGTGGTATTGCATATTTTCATCTCAACATTTCTGTTGATACGTTTTGCTTCTTCCGTCCCATCGTCTTTTTTTGTCTTTGAGTATCATGGTGGGAACCTTCCATCTTGAAGCTGTTTGGAGGGGATCCTCCGGGCTGCGTCGAAGCCTTCTGTCGGGGTCTACTTTCATCGAACGTAAACATGTACGTCGGTCGCTGCTGCTACCGTCGGCTCGAGATGGCGATGGACGGAGAGTTGGTTCCGCCTTTACTTTAGATGATTGTTCGGATTATGCACCGCTGCTCACTCTTCTACCTGGGCCTGGTGTGGCACTTCATTCCTAGCGCTCTTCTTACCCAAAGGATGGAGTGGCACCGCCGGCTGTTGAGATGGGGGCCCACCGAATCTTCAAGCTTTGGCTCTGGCGGGCCATGTCTCTTTTCTCTGCCTCCTCCGTATCCCCTTCTTTTCCTTCCCTGCATCTTCCCTGACGGATATCTCTTAGGGGATTGAGCTGGGAACCTATGGGAGGTGGAGGTCGAAGGATTCACCCTCGAGGATACGTGCTCGAGGGTGGGGCGCCCGGGTATGCTGATACCGGAGATGAATTCTCGAGGGCGGGCCGGGCGCCCAGGTTTCATCATATGTACATCCTTCCGCTCTTCAGATTTAGGCGTAGGTTCTCGTAAGCCCTTGTATGTAATGACCCTCCGGGGCTTTGTAATCGAACGCCGTGACCCCTCGGGGGTTCTTGTACTTTGTAAACTTCATGAATGAGAAATGAACTTTGTTGATCTCTGCTTTCAAATTTTCTTTATTTCCTCATGCTTTCATGCCCTTCGAGGATCTTCAAATGTATTCCCTTATGTTGTCGATTGCTGATATTAATCTTGGACGTGAGTGTTTGCTTTGATTTCCCACCGATTGACATGGGCCCTTTCGGCCCTACTGTCGTCCTTCGGGACAATTTCGGGTCGATCTGACAGGTTTGGTACTCGTATGAGTCTCCCGAGTTATTCGGAGATCGCGCGTTGAATTCCGGGGCCTCCGGGGGCGCCGCTCCGGATGTAGGCCGTCCTCGGGTACCTTGGAGACCTTATTAATCTGAGCGTAGATGGTCCCTTTGTGCCACGAGAGATAGATCTTTGCTTCTCCTCTGGCGCTTGTTTGCTTTCACGCCCTTCGGGATCTTTAAATGCCTTCTATTGCTTGTGGGCCGTTGTAGTTTGCCGTGATAGCCTATTTTGGTCCCCAGCTGATGGGAAAGGCTCTTTCCTGCTTTCTTTTTTGTCGTTCATCTGGCTTAATGCAGGACCGACTGGATAGGCTCAAGCTGTCGGGGCCTGTTGGTCCGTTTGGAGATCTTGCATCAAATTTTGGGGCCTTTGGGAACGATACCCCGGATTAAGGTCATCCTCGGATGCCTCGGTGGGTCCTGTTGATTTTTATGTGGACAACTTTTTAAAAGAGTGTAAGGTTGGCTCCCGTTCGAGGAGTTTGCCTATGTGCAGGGCACTTCCTCGGGGGTTCTCCGAGTTTTGGAGATCGGAGCTTCCCG